GGATTTGGCATCATTCAGCATATCCAGACTACAATTGCTACAATTGCATCATGACTTAGCAGTTGATGTTTTGTCATTTCCCATGGAAGGGAAAGTTGTCCCCAATGTCAAACTCGTCGCTGCAAGCTCTGAGTCCGGCGGCTTCTGCTGTTCATCCTGCCAGCAGAACAAGCCGTGTGCAAAGGCAATCTGGTTGGCCCGAGGCCAAGCTTGGCGCAAGACATGCCCGTGGTTGCAGGGGGGGTTCAATGGGTCGACCAACTTGTTCGGCCTTGGCTGCAGTGTTTGCGCTATGATGCATCTCCGGAAGCCTCGCGAAGCAGCGCATTATCTTGAAGCGGACATGGGAAAGTCGTCATCGAATGAGGGTGGAACTGCCTTCGCAACTTTCACAGTTGTGCCTTCCATGTGCATGAAGGCTTCCAGATTCCGGCGCCATGCTAGCAGCAAGTTGCATCAGGCAGCAGTGCGGGCGGCGGATAGCAGCAAGTTTCCGATCACAAGCTCTGCCATCGTGGAATTCAGAGAGGCCCTCCAACAGATGCGGAGAGGCCGTAGTGCTCGAGACATGTTGGACGGCGTGCTTTCGGATCGTGTTTTGCTCATCCGCTGGTGCATTTCGGAAGCTGTGTTACAGAAATACCGGGCTTTTCTGCGAACAGCGCAGGCCATATGCTTGATGCGAGACTGCCGGGATGGCAGGTTGTTGATGAGGTTCAGGGCTTCCCGGGCATCTGACCTGCAGGCACCTTGATTTTGGTTTAGCATGCAAGCTTTGTTTCAATTTCGTCGTGGTGAATCTGACTTGATTAGGCACTAGTAATTAGTAGTACATGTGTTAAAACAAGAGGCGTACCCAAACCCAATGGGGTAGAGTAGCTCGTCAACCCACCAGGGTTTTCATTCAGACCAACCGGTGAGGTGAGGCTACGACATCCCGAACGAATTTACTGCCCCTATTTACTGTAGTGAATTAGCCATTTAGCCGGATCACTGTAACCTACACAAGCTGGGGTCCCGACACATCCCGACGGGTCTTGGTTTAGGGGTGAGCGGGTGGGTGCTGGACCCAGACATGAAGCCTTATAATAAGCCTTCTGACGGCAGGGGGGGTCTCCGTCACACTGATCGCCACTGACTGTTACAAGACATCCTCCCTCGTGGCCTGTGCTCTACCCTAAACCCTAAACCCTTAGGGGAAGCTTCAGTTTCACAGACCTGCAAGACATGCCACACGTGAATAAGCACTTTCCAAACATTTCATGCTTGAATTGTCTGTAGATGGTGTTTAGCATTCATTGTCGTGCCTTTGTCAGTTGGCGTGCCCTTTCGAAACTTCCGTGCACTTGCGGTTGGGGTGCCACGATGTCACTCAGATAAGGTGTGCTCTGGGATCCTTGGAGTCGCGCGCCTGGGCTTCATGGACTCTGATTCCTTGGCCAGTGCAACCCGGGACCTCATCAAGGACTTCTGCACAATTGGGAAGCATGCTCCACGTTCGGCGACTCGCGTGTCCAAAGGGCGCTTCGACGAGGCTTTGTACAATCAGATTCGCTCGAAGGTTCAGATTTTAGTCACGGATGCGGCCGCATCAGAGATCCTGGCATCCAAGATTCTGAGAGGTACACGGGAAGGGGCAAACAGGGACCCTGAGCCCCTGCTGCCCAATGTGCGGCTCATTGGACGCGACGCTGCCCATGCTGCAACTCGATTGCTGAAGCGGCCTTGGAGTGTCATTCCCTGCGTCCGTGATGTGGTTGTTAGCACAATTACCTCTCAGGACTCTGTAGCTCAAAGGATATTCCACTCGAACATCTTTTCGGACATGCTTCAGAAGGAGATCCAGAAGGATGCCCATTTGCCTCAAGTGGCTTCCCTCTCTGCCGCCAAGCACAGGTTCGCTTCATTTAGTAAACCTCTTGGAAGAATTGTGCTTCATATTCAAGCGTTGTTCCGTGTTGTACATTCCATCATGTTTCTGCGGGATGCTGGATGGTGCAAGAGTTGGTTGAACTCCATGAATGGGGAGAAACTTCTCTTGCTGGCCTTAGCAGCCGACGCAGCAGATTCCCTGCTGGAGTTTGTGAGGGCTCTGGACAGCGAGACCTTCGACCCTGCCGGCTTGAATATGCAGGTGCAAGATTTTCTGTCGAACATCCACGTGCTTTTTGGAGCCCCTGCTCAAGCATTCGAGGTCAGCGGGTATGCCAAGCACTGCTGGCTGAGCCTGCGCGATAACCCCGTCTTTGTGATGCAGGAAGGACGGCAAAAACGCATTGAGGTTACTGATGCATGTCGCCAGGCGGCACTGCAAGCCATGCGGCCCTGGGTGCGGCACGTCTTTGATGCTTGCAAGGCTGAGTTCCCAGACTATGACATTTTTGCAAGCATGGAGGTTTTGAATGTCGCAATTCAAGACGAAGAACACATTGCAAGAATTTCGCACGAGCAGTCATCAAGCTGCATTGCTTCTTTGTGCAAAATCTTGCAGGTTTGTCCGCACACGGCTGCAGCAGAGCTGCACACCCTGTTTCCTGTCGCCCGTGGGCTGCAGCGAAGGCATCATTGTGGGAGCCGAGCTGCCTGGGCACTTGCATTGAAGAGAACTCAGCACAGGCCTGAGACTAGAGCTCGATATCCTGTCGTTGCGCTGAGCAAGCTACTGCTGGCTCACGCTTGCTGGACCTGCTCCACGTCGGCCGTGGAGCAGAACTTCAGCAAGGCGGAGAGATGCTCCGGCAGCAAGCGGTTTGGGCCCAAGGCTGCCAGTGCCGAGGCGCGGTCTTTGATTGTTTTGGCTTTCAAGGCGGACGGGAGCGGCACAGAAGAGGATCTGGTTCATCTGGCCACCCGACTTTTCTCTTATTGCAAGAAGTCTGATCGCTGCAAGAATAAAACGTCAAGGCTTGACAAGGGTCTTCGCAGGCATCGCGGAGGCAAAACTGAGCAGGCGTTCATACGACAGCGTCGTGATGCCGTCCGTGCGGTTGCCCGGCCTTTCCGCAGATGCTTATCAGAGCACCTGCCGGGCATCAATGCTGAGCCTGTGTCAGAGCAAGGTCAGCAAGAGCTCGATTTTCAGGCGAAGGCAGCACGACAGCGGAAAGTGGAAGCCTATCGCGATGGCTATCTCAGTGATGACGGCAGCGGCCTTGCAGACGCGGCGAACAAGACCGCCAAGAGTGAAATCGTTCTTGATCGGCAACGAGCTTGCAAGCGAGCGCGGATCCAGTCTGATTTGTCTGCCATGCAATGCAAGGTTCAATGGAGCTGGGCCCGCCTTCGACATGACAAGATCTGGTTGGGTCCAGGTGTGACAATCCCAAACAACCTTCCGCGGCTGCAGCTGACAGAGGAGAAGATTGTTAATCATGTTGGATCATACATCGCTTTTAGTTTTGTTAGTCAGTGATCGTATATGTTGTGTAATCACGGCCCGAGTTTTCGTGAGAGTCTTTCCAGGATATCCGTGAAGCTTCAGTTTTCTTTGTGGCTGATTCTGGTGATATCCCTGCCAAAGTGTATTTCTGCGCGACGGCATGCGGTGGAGAGATTTGCTCGGCGACAATCTTGCAGGGGAAAGGAGGCCTGTCCACGAAGTATTCTGCCGAGTCCTTCAAGCTTCTCGCTTCTCAGCATAGGACTGTGTATGTCACAAGGGCCTTCAAGGAACAACATGCAAGCTTGACAGTGCTGATGCGCTGGGGTGCCCAGCAGAAATGGTGGGCTGCAGTTGCACAGGGCAACGTTGAAAGACAATCTTTGTGTTTGGTTGCAGAGGAGGGCGATGCTGAGTCGAAGTTGCTGAAACGCAAATCGAAGTACTGTTTGACCAAGAAAATGTACATGGATCTTCTGCTGCGGCGGTGTGTGCGTGCCGTTAGCAGAGTGCAAGCAGTCAGCTGAGCGCTTCCGAGTTCCGCCCACGGGGTTAGGGTAGAAGGCATGAAAGAAGAAGTGCCACGACGGGGAGCGTTGAGAAAAAGGATGGAAGAGGCCTGTGCATGGGTGCCGTGCCTCTGAGTCTGTCTATAGGGGAAGCTCTAAATGTCAAGGGTCAAAGGATATGTTAAATGTTCCTGGGGGCCAATATGCTGAGGGCTCAGGGTTTATAAAATATAAGGGTTAGAGGGTTTCAAAGTGCACGGGCACTGAAGCCATCGTCCTAGATGCAGCTGCAGTGTAAGGAGACATGCAAGGTTTTTTGCAACCCCATCGTGGCGAGGCACGGCGACATGCGTGCATCAGACTGGAGGCCAGGCTCTGTCTGCTTGTGCTCATTTTGTCAGCTGGCAAAGGGGTGAGAGTCAGTTGCAGTTGCGAGATTCAAAAGAAACCGAGTTACGAAGAGACAAGCAGGTTTTTTGTGCCGCAACGGCGCAGCCCGCCTGGGAAGGGGATTGTGCCGCGAGGCGCACCCAAAAGAAAAACTGGCAGAACCCAGTCGAAGTCTCTCGAAGTTGAAGGAGACGGGAGGGGAACGGATGTCGCAGTTCAGTTGATGAGTTCTTTGAGTTTGCTGAAATCATCGGTGTGTGTCCCAGTGTTTTGAGGCCCAAGCTTAAAGCTTCCCCTTTGAGCCTGCAGCATGCCAATGCTGCCTCCTCGGAAGGTCCCTCGCAAGGTGCAAGGCAAGAACCGGAAGAAGTTTCCCAAGGGCCACTTTTCTACACGTGACCTCGCCATGCTCATGGATCGGCAGAGGATCTCCCTGAGCCGTGTTATGTGTTCAACGAACGAGTTGGTGACCTCAGTCTGGCCGTCAGCTCACAAGCTTCTCGAGCGGATGGAACGCCTTCTTCAGAAGTGGGAGCGGCTACGCATGGACACTTATGATGACAGGGCTCTGGTGGTAAGCAGAAAGAAGGCTTAGGCCTTTAAACTTTGTTGTGCCGACCGACAGCACTGGAAATGACTGCGGCTTGCCCTGGCAGGAATGGCCCAGTGCTGGAGATGTTACCTTGAATGGCCGTGTTTGGCGACTGTACAGCTAGCCGCAAAGGCATACCAGTTTGGCCTCTAATTAGAGTGGGGCTGTGATGTGTTTTCGCTTCGCGACAGAAAAAATGAAGCTCCAAGCCTTACTGTGGCGGGCGGGGGTAGTGGTGGAGGGTGTCTTTTGAGAATCAGAAGACTTGGAGAGTCTAAGGGGGGGTGTTCAAGTGTCACGTGCATGCTGTACGCATGTCTGCGTGTATGTATGTCGGTCAGTGACAAGCTGTCGCCGAACCTGCGAGCACTTTTTGAATCCTACCCGGGTCAGGCACCACGAGATGCCTTTGACGGAGGCCAGCTTTGCTTCTGCTCGTGTCAGCTGGCACGTCGGTGAGAGTCGCACTTTTCAGTTTGTCGCAGTCGCTGCAATAATAAGTGTTCTCAAGTGTCTTAGATTAGTACAAGGAGAAACAAGGGGTTTTGTGCCGCAACGGCGCAGCCCGGGAAGGGGATTGTGCCGCGAGGCGCTCCCCGCACGGAGAGGGAGGGGAAGGGCGGCGGG